AAGACGGCCCAAGAGGCTTTCGAGACAGCCCCGAAACAACCCAACAGCCCCCTAGATGCCCAAGTTGGCTCCAAGACGGCGTGCAGGGCGCCCCACTGACGCCCAGGGGCGCGCCCAAGATAGCCCCACGGGGCACCAGATGGCCCAAGGGGCCCCCAAAGAGAGTCCCAAGACGGCCCAAGAGAGCGCCGAGACGGCCCAAGAGAGCCCCAAGACGGCCAAGAAGGGCCCCAGAGGGTCCCACACGGGCCCCAAGGGAGCTCGAAGATGGCCTCAGGAGGCCCCCTCGACGGCCGAAGAGGGCCCCCAGAGGGTTCCAAGACGGCCCCAGCCCCCCAGGACGGCCCAAGAGGGCCTCAGGACATCCCAAGAGGGCCCACAGTCGGCCCAAAAGAGCCCAAAAAGGACCCCCAAGAAAGCCCAAGAGGCCCCCAGAGTTTCCAGAATGCTTCCAACAAGCTCCGAGGAAGCTTCCCAAGGCTCCAAGAGGCCCCCGATTCACGATTGATCTCAGAGCTTCAAGAGGCCCCACGAAGAAACGCCGCCAAGCCCCGAGAACCACTACAAACGCCCCGCACTCACGATCCATGTCAGCGGTGTGCCGGCATGGGCGAGGCGGCGGGATGCGAACCTTGGCTCTGGGGCCGTCCGTGCAACTCCCTGTGGGGTACGATCCATGTGAGGAGACACTCGACATACGTGGGGGGAACGTGAGGTTACGCGAATCCTCTGACTATGGCCGCAAGTGAACTACATCCCCATGGGACACCATCCGTGTGATGGGTGTGCCGAGACGAGCGGAATGACGCCGTGCGAACTCTGACACTGGACCCACAAGTGGAGCTCCCAGGGGACGCTATGTGAAACATGCCTTCCTGCGGGGCCGTAGGATCATCGCTTGCACGTTTTCTCAGCTTTCTCACAGCCCACTTCTTCTCCGCCGCTCCTCCCCCTCCTCCTTCTCCTCCTCCTCATCCTTCTCGTGCTCCTCCTCGTCCTCTTCCTTCTTCTCCTTTTCCTTCTCCTCCTTCTCCTCCTCCTCCTCCTCCTCCTCCTCCTTTACCCCCCCCCCTTCCTCCTAGTTCTCCTCCTCCCCCTCCTCGTTCTCCTCCTCGTTCACCTCCTCCTTCGCTTCGCTCGCGCGGTTTGCAGTGCTTCGGCAAAGGTACTCTCGCCAATCCGTGGCCGCATCCTGAACTAAGATTGGCTCAGCCACCCCTCAGAGCGAAACTGTCGCCTCAGAGCCGGCCACAGCCCCCATTGCAGATGATGCTGCTGGTCTCGCACAAGCCCCATTCATGGATGGGATTGGCGCTCTCGCCCGAGCGCTGGCCACACCCCCTTTCTGGGAATCATGCTGCCGTTTGCGCGCTGGCCAAATCCTTCATGGAACGCGGCACTCTTTTCACAGCGCCACCCACGCCCCTCATTGACTATTGTGATGTCGCTCCACTCGCACGGCTCCCACAGCCCTCATGGGAGAATGGTGCTCCGCCCAAGCGCCAGCCACATCCATGTCCAAAATTTGTGCTACCGCCCCAGCGCCGGCCGCATCCGTGTGTGAGACTGGTACTCTCGTTTGAGCCTCGGCTGCATCCGTCTTTTGCGAGCGCCACCTACTGCGCGAGACAACTGGCGACCGCAAATGCCGTCCATTCGTGCTGGGCGAGTGCCGAGCCTGGCGTTCGGTTTGGACGGAACGCGTCGGGTCTGTTGCCAATCGGGGCTGCGCCAGGTTAGCCCCCCCAACGTCAGGTTCGGGAATGGGTCGTAGCAACAGTGCGGCTACATCAATATGCTGACCGCAGAGTCAATAAGACATGTAGGTGCAATGATCAAGATTAGAAGACGAAGCACAGCGAGCCTTGGAATCTTGTGTACATATGTATGCCTAGATGTATACCCACTATTTTCCGTTGATTCCCCCCAGGGAGAAGAGCACAAACACAACGCAAACCTGAATAGTCAAGAGCGGAAAACACTGGACATCAATGAGTTCACGCGTGGGGGCTCGGGGACCGAATGGTTCTACACTGCCTCCAGGTGTGTGTGTGTGTCTAGCATGGTTTTCCGAGTCTCAGGTAGTCGTCGATCATGTCGTCGTCATCGGCCGCCCCCGCAAGCCATCTGTCTCGCCAACGACGTACTCCCTGACCCATCCAGCAAGCCATAAGTCGTTAGGCATACACACAAACATTCATGCATACATGCATAAGCATAGACATTCAAGCACGCGTAACTGTACACTCGCATAACTGAAAACATCAATACCAGCATGCATGCATGCACACATGCATACATGCATGCATACACATACATACATATATATATATAGATGTATAGATATGCACATACACACACGTACAAACATACGTATACACGCATGCGTGCACAGATGCATGCTTACATACAGGCCGTCGTACAATGTCGTACATGCACACAGACAGACATACATACATGAACGGATGCTTACATACATACAAACATGCACCTGGTACATACGTGCATACAGTCATACGTGCACACAACAAACTTGCATGCATGCATCAGTGCATGCATACCGATGTATGCACATATTCAAATATACATAGACGCACATTAGACACATGCCAACGTACGTACACATATATGTTTATATACATACGCACACAAACAATCAAACACGCATACATGCATGCAGTCACACATACACATGAAGGAATACATATATAAATACCTGCATTCATGCATACAAGCATACAACCATGCAAAGACAGACACATGCATCCATATATATACATATATGTATATGTATATGTGTGCATGCGTACGTAGATACATATACACCCATACGTACGCACATACAAACAAGCATCACCACAGCCATGCATGCACACATACATACAGACATGCACACACACATACACACATACATACATACATACATACATACATACATACATACATAAATACGCACGAACGTAAATCCATCCATGTCTGGATGACACTAGGTATGCATTGGTTCATATCTGCATGCGCACATGCACACACGCATGCGTACATCGATACCTTCACGCACTCATTCAGATATACGTACATGCATACAGACACACATGCATGCATGTATGCATACAGAAATGCGTATAAATACGCAAGCACATATATACGAGTATATATACATGCATGTACATGTATAGGCAAATATGCATACGTATGCAAATATCTGTACACACATATACATATATAATCACACACCTATGAATTATGTATTTACATACATGTACCTGTACACACGTGCATAACCAAATACATCTATGTTTACAGATATATGAACCACATACATGCATACATACACACATACATATATATTATATATATATACTCACGTACACACATACACATCACATTTATAACTATACACTTACGCACATGCATAGACACATTCAACCATACATGCATACCGGCACATATGCATACATGCATGTCAATGTACAAGCATACAGACATACATACACAGACACACATACATACACAAATACATACATGCCTACATCCATACGTATGAAGAGAGAGAGAGAGAGAGAGAGAGAGAGACAGAGAGAGAGATATAAAGAGAGAGAGAGAGACCCACACAACAAACCAAACATATTCGCCACTGTGTTATTGGCACGCAGCGGGGTGTGCCAAGGCTCAAAGCTATGCTGCTGCAGGTGCTGCAGCCAGGATTTTAGATTCTTAAGGGCTGGCGCTACTGGGATGTGTCGCGTGGGCCTCTGGGACGGTGACCCAGTCGAGCAGGGCCCAGAAATCAATGAAGAGAGCCCCGAGAAGCTCCCAGCAGGATCCAAGAGGCCTCCGAGACGGCCCATGAGCTCTCCAAGACGCCAAAGATGTCCTCACAATGGCCGAAAAATCATGCGAGACGACACAAGAAAGGCCGAACAGCCGTCCTAAGAGGGCCCCGAGAGGGCAAACTCAGTGATTCCCCTAAGGTGTTTCATCGATGCTTTTGGGGTTCTCCTCCTCCTCCTCCTCGTCCTCCTGGTCCTCCGCCTTCTCCCCCTCCTCTTCCTCCTCCTCCTCCTCCTCCTTTTCCTCCTCCTCCTCCATTCCTCGTCATTATAACTAACTTCTCCCTGTCGCACCCCGAGGCCAGTTTTTAGGGCGGGCCGGGCATTTCGCCTGAGACTTCCTCATCATTCATGACTCTGAAGCTTAAAAAGCGGCAACCGTTTTACCGATGGAGGGCGGGTGGTTATCAAAATGTGGATCTCGCACTAGCGCCGCGCACACTCGTTTCAAACATTTGCAGGTTTTCACGCATTGAGGGCAGGTGGTTTTCAAAATGTGGCTCTCGCCTTGGCGCCGCGCACATTCATTCTAACAACTTGCAAGAGTGTCACGGATTGAGGGCGGGTGGTTTTCAACATGTGGCTCTCGCCTTAGCGCCGCGCGCATTCGTTATACAATTGTGCAAGAGCTTCAGGGATTGAGGAGATATTCTTTTCAACATGTGGTTCTCGCCTGAACGCAGCGCACATTCGCTTCCCATGACCAACGTATCATACATGATGTTTTGGAAGGGTTCAAGACTATACGGGTGCAACAGTTATGTTGGATTGCGGTGTTGAGATTAATAAATAATGTTCTGGCACGATTCTATATCGTCAAAACGCAGAAATCATGTTGATCCGTGCCGTTGAAATCCCGAGAACAATGTTTTGGCATGATTCAGGATCTTCAAGCGGTTGTCTTCCAACGAGGCAGCTCCCTCAATGCAAACGAAACGTTGTAGGGGCCCTTGAAGAGCGAGCTTGAAGGGAGGGTGAATTCCAACATCCTTGATGACTGTTGGGTTTACACTGGTCCACCTCCTCCTCCTCCTCCTCCTCCTCCTCCTCTTCCTCCTCCTCCTCCTCCTCTTCTTCCCCCTCCTCCTCCTCCTCCTCCTCCTCCTCCTCCTCCTTTTCCTCCTCCCCTCCTCGCTGCCCCACGAGAGGCCCCCTCCCCCCCTTCCGCTCCTTGGCGGCCGGCGCGGCCGCTGGCACCGCCTCGGCACGCCCAACCCCGTGGCCCCCCTCCAGGCAGGGTTGTGGCGGCTAGTGGTTGGAGCACGAGGAGGAGGAGGAGGAGGAGGAGGAGGAGGAGGAGGAGGAGGAGGAGGAGGAGGGGGAGGACAGGGAGGAGGAGGAGGAGAAGGAGGAGGAGGAGGAGGAGGAGGACAGGGAGGAGAGGAGGAGGACGAGGGAGGACAGGGAGGAGGGGGAGGACAGGGAGGAGGAGGAGGCGGAGGAGGAGGAGGAGGAGGAGGAGGAGGAGAGGAGGAGAAGGGAGGAGGAGGAGGAGGAGGAGGAGGAGGACAGGGAGGAGCAGGAGGAGGAGGGAGGGAGGAGGAGGAGGAGGAGGAGGAGGAGGAGGAGGAGGAGGAGGAGGAGGAGGGGAGGAGGGGAGGACGAGGAGGAGGCCAAGGAGGAGGACGAGCAGGGCGATGGCGGCTATAGTTGTCGGCCGGGCGAGCAGGCGGGGCTCGAGGATCCATCGGCGGCGAGCCCCTGGGGGGAGCGAGACGGGGGCGGGCCCTCCCAGAAGGCTCGGGAGGCCTCGGGCCTCCAGAAGAGTGCTCTGAGCCTTCTCAAGAGGAGGAGGAGGAGGAGGAGGAGGAGGAGGAGGAGGAGGAGGAGGAGGAGGAGGAAGGAGGAGGAGGAGGAGGAGGGGGGAGGAGGAGGAGGGGGAGGACAGGGAGGAGGAGGAGGAGGAGGAGGAGGAGGAGGAGGAGGAGGAGGAGGAGGAGGAGGAGGAGGGAGGAGGAGGAGGAGGAGGGAGGAAGAGTGCTCTGAGCCTCGGGCCTCCAGAAGAGTGCTCTGAGCCTTCCCTGGAGGCACAGAAGCCTTCTCAAGAGGACCATGGGGAAGCATGAGAAGCCCCCGCCGAAGCCTGAGAAGGCATGCCCCCTCTCGCGTACCCCGATCAAGGCACGCGGTTCGAGGATCGCTGCACCTTTCCTGAGCCTCCCGCGGCGTTCTCGTGGCCACGGCTGGGTCCGCCCTGAACTCCGAGGCCGGTCCGAGTCTGCGCAGACGACCTGGACCCACTGTTCGCGGAAAAGCACGAGAACCACAATTCTTCAACCCGCTTTGGGATCCCGTGACCGTCACAGACAGTGCAGGAGGAGAAACAGTGAGGTCCAGGGGGCCACGTCTGGAAACGACCGAAGTCTGGGAAGGGCAGGGCGGTGATCGAGGATCGAGGGCGTTAGATGCTCCGGGCCGCCTCCCGGCCCCCTGCTGGGAGGAAGGTTCAAGGATTGAGCATCGAGGCCTCGAGACGTCAGAATCACCGAGGCTCTAAGGATCAAGCATTCAGGATCGCGGATTTAAGGACCGAGGCTCAAGGATTAAAGCTTCAGGATCGAGGATGCCTGCTCACCTCCGCTGGCACCTCCTAACGGGGGCGTCCGAGAGGGGGGGCGTCCAAGAGGAGGGTCCGAAGACCAGGGCCCGCGGCGTTTTTGCGCGGACCAGAGGGGGAGGCGCAGGGGATGGGTGCCACCTGATCTGGGGAGGTCTCGTGGCCACGGCCACGGTATGCACCCCCCTAGTCCTCCCCCCCTCCTTGAGTGCCCACGATTCTACCAGGAGGCCGCCCGCATTCGGGCCAGAGCAGGTACACCCTGCGAAATGCTTAACAAATCGTGGGTTGAGAAACTCAGAGTCTCAGAATTTGAATAAAAACCCAGAACTTCTATCAAAATCTTAGGATTTACATTGAATCATTAAGAATAATCGAGACTCTCGCCGAAAACTTAGGTTTTCTTAAGCATCGCCTAAGGTGTAGGGTCCGAAGACGGCGCCGCACCGCGAGAACCATCGGCGCTGTCGGCGCGGCGACGGGAGAGATCTTCTCAAGGGAGGGAGCGGCGGTGGGGACCCAGGCCTCCACCGTGGAACAGAACTGCAGTCACGGGGGAGGAGGAGGAGGAGGAGGAGGAGGAGGAGGAGGAGGAGGAGGAGGAGGAGGAGGAGGAGGAGCAGCAGGGGAGGAGGAGCAGGAAGAGTAGGAGCAGCAGGAGGAGGAGGAGGGGAGGAGGAGTCGGGGGGGGCGCCCTCAGAGCCGAAAACTCCGGTTTGGGCGTTTACTACTCAGCAGAGGCAAGCAGGAATGCGTCCAAGTCGCCCGAACGCAAACGATAGCTGAAATGGAGGGACGGGAGGGGCTGACGGGCAACCACTGTCGCGGTGGCTTGCCCTCCCTCATCCTCTTGATACGGTGCCTTTGCACCGCCAAAGTCGGGGGGTGGTCCGAGGGGCCCTTGCAAGGCCGCTTGAGGTCCACCACCTTACCCGACTCCCCGACGTGGCAGGCGCAGCGTGCACATAACGCCACGACGTTGACCTCGGCCATCCGATGGCCGAGGGCGTAGGACAGGGCCCAGGCCGCAGGGTCCCGCCCCCGAGACGCCGACACCCGAGGTCCCAGGGAGGAGGCAACCGCACGACGGCTCAGGTCTTGAGGCGCGCCCAGCGAGCGTCGAAGCCGACCCCTCACCCGATGCCGAACCCACAACCACCACCAGGCCAGGCTCAGCATCCGTGGGGGGGGGCAGCGCCCAAGCATCCCCACCGACGGGCCCCCCCTGGGGCCACCGCTGGGCCCTCGGGATCCAGGGCAGCCTCCTCAAGCAGCCTGTCGGCCGCCTCCAGCGCCGCACGAGCACCCTCGGACACAACCACAACCCAACCATTGGGGCCCCGTCCAAACACCCGATTCGCTTTCCACAGGTCAAACGGCGCAGGACGGCAGCGGGCAGCAGCAGCAGCAGTCAGAGAGCGGAGGCCAGCCGCGGTTCTGGTGAAGGCGCCGCACTCGCGACATCTCCATTATCCTCTGGTCCTGCTGTGCCAGAGGTGGCGGCCACCAGGCCCCACAGTAGAGACAGCAGGCGCACGCAGCTCGGGCTGGGGGGGCTCTTGCTCTGGCCCCCTCCGACGGCGACTCCGACGAACAAAGCCCCAGCTCGATGAGACGCCCCCCGGCCCAGGCCGAATAAGCCTCCTGAGCTGTCCTTGGGCTCCGTCCTTAGTGTGCCCCGGGAACGACAGGGCCGTTTTGTTACCGGTTCCGTTTTGCCGTTTTGTTGCCGGTTCCGACGCCGTTTTTTCACCGGTTCCGTCGCCGTTTGTTGACCAGATTCTGGCTCCGGTTCCAATCCTGGAGCCGTTTTGTTTGCCGGTTCCGGTCGCCTTTTTTTGCCCTTTCCATTTTCAAGGGACATTTTGTTTAGGGAACGGTGAAAAGACGGCCCTGCCGTTTCCGGGGTCCTCCCTCCTCCCTCCTCCCTCCTCCCTCCTCCCTCCTCCCTCCTCCCTCCTCCCTCCTCCTCCCTCCTCCTCCTCCTCCTCCTCCTCCTCCTCCTCCTCCTCCTGCTGGCTCCGTCCGACTGGAAGTGCACAAGTGCACCCGCAAGGGATCGGCCAAGGCTCCGCCGAGGCAGCCCGGCAGAGCGGCAGAGAAGGCGGCGGAGGCGGGAGGGGCAGCGCGCGGAGGCGCAGCGTGCCGGGCAGAAGAGAGCGAGCAGGGGCGTCACGGCCAGCCCGCGTGACGCGGATGCTCGGGTCGGGCGAAAGGGGGGGCTAGCAAAGGGGGGAAAGGCCGAAAATAGCGAAAGGTTTTTCGCTATTTTCGGCCTCCAGGGGCCCTTACCGGCCCTTAGGACCGTCAAAAAACGGCTCGGGATGAGAAACCGGTCCCGGGGAATGGGTCCAAACCTCTGGGGGCCGCGTCATGAAAAAATCATGACGTCGGGGGTCTGGGGGGATAGCAAAGGGGGGGTTTGAGAATCAGCTCGCGTAGCTGATTTTCCCGGCGCCTCCCGGCGCCGGAGGCGGCCATGTATCGAGGAATGGGCCCCTCGGTGAGGCCGAAACCAGCTGCATGCAGCAGATTTCGTCACCCCCCCTTTCCCAACCCCCCCCTTTCGCCCGACCCGAGATGCGTGCGGCACAGAAGAAGCTGCGCGTGTTCGCTGTAAGGGGACGGGCGGGTGAGGGGGACGAGGATGCTCCTGGCCAGCCCGACAGAGGCCATCGTGCGATGGCACACTCCTGGTGATGGAAGACTCGCGGCCTCTGGACACGGCCCTTGCTGTTTCGACCCGACGCAACGGCCTTGTCCTGCTCCGCGTCTGCAGTCAAGTGGCACCGTCAGGGCCCACCTGCAGCAAGACGAACCAAGTGGCACCGTCAGGGCCTACCTACAGCCAACGACCAATCAAGTGGCACCGTTGAGGCCTACCTGCAGCTCAAGACAAGTGGGCAGCTGAAGCGGGCGCGGCGTCCGAAAGGACCGACAACAATTAGTCGCATGTCCGCGCAAACCCCGCTGCGGCCCGCGCCTCCGTGCTCCTGCGCGCACCCCCCCTTCACATCGCCAACCGATACGATCCCCCGTATCACCAACCTGGCACTCGAAGTATTTGGACACGCCGAGCCCGTAGTTTCAAGTCAGCCCCTCGCAGCACCAGTGCTTCTTCATCGCCCTGAACGCGCCGCAAGATTGGCCCTTGGCCCGCAGGTCAGTCGACCTGCCCTCGGCCTTGCGGCCAGCTAGGCTCGACCAGTAACGCGCAGAAGCGAGCGTGACCCCCCGCCAAAAGCCGCTTGCACCGCGAGGGGTCCTCCCCAGCAGGCCCGGGGACCTGGATCGGCTCCGGGCGCCTGCATCGCTGCGGGCCCGCGTCGCCTCGTGGGCGACCCCCCGCGCGCTGCCTGGGCGCCCCGAGGGTCCCGCCACGCTGCCGCCCTCCCCGTGGGCGCCCCGCGCGCTGGCTGGGCGCCCCGAGGCTGCGCCACGCCGCCGCCACGCTGCCGCCCCGTGGGCGCCCCGCGCGCCACCTGGGCGCCCCGAGGCTGCGCCACGCCGCCGCCCCGCTGCCGCCTCGGCGGCGCGCGGCGGGCGCCCCGCGCGCGGGGGGGGGAGGCCCCGCCGCGCGGCCGGCGGCGCCGCCGCGTGGGCGCCCCGTGCGCGGGCCTCTCACTGACTGCCCACCAAACCACCCCAACCCAGCCCGAAGACCCCACTTTCGGGTTGGGGGGGGGTAAGGGTTCCACATGCGTTTTGTTCGATGTTTCCCGACCCCCCCCCCCACTGGAGATCGAGGGTAAATCTGAGCCTTCGGGTTGGGTTGGGGTGGTTTGGTGGGTGGTGACTCACGGCGTACAGTCGGGGCCTCGAAGAAGGAATGCTTTTTCGTTGGGGAGGGGCTCGGTGCTCCTCGATTGTTTCGCAGTTTGCCTCGGGGTCCCGTTGGGCTTCTGTAGGGGACATGGCAGGTCAGCTTCTGGAAAAGAGGGGCCTGCTTCCTTATTCAGGGTTCCTTGGGTCAACGCCCCGACTGTAGCTTGCACCACACAGGTCGCACCGCGAAGCTTCCATAGCACGGTGCGCACCTCTGGTGCGTGCACCTCCAGCTCACACCTGGCAGCCTGCACGGCAGGTCCTGCATTCCACGGCAGCGGAGTTGTCCGAATTATCCGTGTCCGACACCACAGCGCTTACACGTTCACCACATAGCTTAAACCACACAGCTGGCACCTCCAAGTGCAACAACACACTGTCATGGGTCCACGCTGGCTAACATTGTCGATTAACATGGTCTTTGTTCAACAATCCACCGCTGAAAGACATCTTCCGCACTGCGGACTCAAAGAAGCGTAAAATCCGCCGACCCCTTCGGGTTCATCGGCATGTGAACTGCGTCCCCGTCCCCAAAGCCCTCGGGTCCAATCGATTTGGACGGGGGGTGCCCCCCGGGGTCCGGCCGAACGCGCCATGCCCAGACATCCGACGTCTCGATTTTTTCGAGACACGGGCCTCCGACCTCGCGACCACTTCCCTGGGACCGGTTTTTCCTCCCGAGTCGTTTTTTGACGGTCCCGAGGCCCGGCGAGGGCCCCGAGAGGCCAAAAACTATGAAAAATCTCTGTCTCGATTTTTTCGAGACGCCCGATGTCTGGGTGGGGGGGGCAGAAGGCCCCAAAACGGGTCGAGAGGGCCCAAGAGGCCCCACGGACGGTCCAAGAGGGCCACGGGCCGCCGAAAGATCACTTCAACACGCCCGCGCTGGCCTCTCCAGACGGCCCAGGGGGGCCCCGAGTAGACGCCACGAGAAGCCCCCAAGGGGCGTCCCAAGAGGGCCTCCAGAAGCAACAACATTCCCGCTCCCTTGGGGTTGAGCGCATGTTTCAGCATTCGTTAATCGGCCAGATGGCCAGATCCCTCCGAGACGGCCACAGAGGCCCCCAAGAGGGCTCCGAGGAGGCCCAAGCAGGCCCCAAGACTGACCGAAAAACACGAAGACGGCCCAGGAGGCCCCAGCACAGCCCGAGGCGCCTCCCACGAGACCCTGTCAGCCATCCGCGTGGCCTCAAACCCGCAACCCAGGCACGGTGACACGATGTGCCGAAGGCCATTCGAGAATCAGCCTTCTGGTGTTTTGACAGATGCCCGCCGTCTGTAAACGTGGGCTCTCGCCCGTTTGAGCGGGATGGGGGGGGGCGGGCGGGGCCCGGTGAGGTTGGAGCTCCTAACCGCATCACCGCATCCCGAGGGCCTCTGGAGCCTCTCCAGATGCCAAAGACAGCCCAAACTGGGCACCAAGACGGTCCACGACAGCGTCGAAATAGCCCAAGGTCAGACCCACGACGGTCCAAGACGGCATCAAGACGGCCCACGAGGCTCCCCAAACGGCCCAATAATCAACCAGAGGTGCGTCGGAGTCATGATTTCTTGCAGCCCTACGCGCACATCAGGGAGAGGTACCGCCCCTACTCTCATCGAAATCGCCTCAAGACTAGTCCACGGGCAATTCTACTCCCGTGCCGTCACATCAGATCCCGTCCCGCCACCTCCCCCCAAAGCATTTCCCGATCATCCCGACCAAGCTTTCGATACGAGCCTACATCCTGCGACGAAGGCCCTCTCGCGGCCTACGCGAGTCCAGAGACTACACCCGCACACAAAATCCGACAAGCCCTCTGGGCGTCGGTGGCTTAGGGGGGCCTCTCTTCCAAACCCCTTCCTTTTCCCCGTCGGAGAATGACTTACCCCTGCTCCGTAGTAAGAGCCACCTCCCAACTCGACCGGCGGCCGACACGAAGCAAAAACGACCCCCCCACCACCCCTTTCACAATACAATAGAAAATGCACTTTGCAACAAAATCGGGATCATCTTCGGGCGTCCCGCGATCCCTGCGCATTGCTTTGTGTCAGGATGGCGGGGGGCATCAGATTGCCCCGTGTGCGCCGGCCTACCATCCCTCTCGACAACACATGGGCGGATAGAGGGCTCCAGAACGAGCCAAGAGGGAGCCAAAAAAGCACCCCGAGACGGTCCAAGAGGGCCCCAAGTCGCCGAAAGATCTTCCAGGACGGCCACGATGACCTCCAGACGGCCCAAGAAGCCTCCACAACGCCCCAACAGGCCTCCGCGGGGCCTCCCAAGAGGGCCCCCAGAGACAATGTTCGCTTATGTTTTCAACGTTTTGCGAAAGACGTTAGCGTCCTCGCCGTTTCGGTTTCTCGACGCTCCACGACGGCCCAAGAGGCTCCCAAGACGGCCCCAGAGGCCTCCAAGACGGCCCCTAAACGGCCCAAGAAGACCCCCACACGGCCCCAAAGACGGCCTGAGAGGGCGGTGTGGCCTACGCCTAAGAATCATCCTCTCCTGCCCCCGACTTCGCTCTCCTACGACGTCGTTGAGCCAAAATGATTACGGGGGTGTCCTCATAGCTCGTGGGCCATGGACGGTAAGCCATAATAGCATCCATGTGGCCCATCGTCGCATTGGTTACATAAGTGATGACCCATGTACGCACGTGGTCAGGACGTTGCGCTACTGGTCTGGCGCGAGGGGGTGGGCACAACATCTTACCAACAATTGCTTGGACTGCATGTGTTATTGACCTCCCAAGCCTTCCAAAGGAAGCCAGCGTTTGCCCTGAACCACCCAAAAGCACTCCAACTCATTCCAACGCCTGCCGGGACTTCCAAAGCCCCCTCAGGACTTGATTGATGCCACACTGTGAGAAGAAGCAACAGAGTGAATTGAAGGGGCCCTAGGACACACAAATAAATAGACACAAATAATAGGATTCCCCATATTTTCCAATATTTGCTGGGTTTCTGTCGTCCCCCCCCACTTCCCATATTCTCCCACATCTTCCTGGGGATGGACGATTAATTGTGTCTGTGTGTCTCTGCCCCTCCTGAACACTGCGAGACGAAGCAACAGCTGAATATAAATCCGCTGAGGGCGCCCACGTGGATCTCTCGGGTCGGCGCGGGACGCTCCTCCTCCCACGCCCCTTTTCCAGGCGCGCGGAGCGCGCCAGGGCGGCGCCGTTGGGCGCCGCCAGTGCAACGTGGAGGGCGGTCCAGCGCCGACCCGAGAAATCCGCGCGGGCCGCCGAGAAAGTACACGCCGGTCGGAAGAAGTGTGTAGAAACATGAAGTAGGAAGGCGTTGGAAGTAGATTCAGCTTCCACCCGCCCCCTGAAGAGGAAGGAAGAAGGGAACCAGTTGATCCTTGAAGTCGGAAGGCGCCGAGAGTAGATTGGGATCTGGGAATCCGAGAATACCTACTTTCCACGACCGGCGTGTACTTGCATGCGGCCATTTTTGTCATTCGCTGCACTCTTGAACGCCCCACGGCCTCCCAGGGAAAAGGACCAACGCCGCCCAGGCCTTCTGGGGCCCCTCAGGGACCTCCGAAGGCCTGCCAGCGCCCCCTAATTTGACCCGAATGCCACCTGAAGAACGAGTCACAGGGCCGTCCAGCGCATCCCAGTGCCCACCCCAAGGCCTCCCAGGAAGAACCAGAGGCACGTCGAGACCCACTAAGGTCGCCACAGGGGCGCAGGGCATCTTGCAGCTGCCCCTCGAGCGGCTGTGCAGGTTGGCCTGGAACTCCGCGAAGCTGGAGGCCGCGGTGAGGTTAGGGTAAACCTTTCACGAACAGCAAACGTACGGCAAGCTCGTGTCGTGCCGACTCGTGCATAGGTTTCTGACACCGAGGGGATCGTTCAACCTTGAACGATCGGCCGTTGCCGAAACGTCAGATCGTTCACCACGACAGATTCTGAATCGCCGGCGGCGTTCACCGTCGAACGCTGGCGGCGGGGTCGCCGCTGGTCGACACCACGCGAACCTACCGTATCCACATCTTCTGTGGCAACTCATGGGAGCCTCCCATAGCATCTTGTCGGCTCTTGCGAATCGACGCTAAGCGACTCTAAATCTACGCTCATCCACGCTAGATCGACGCGAATCGACGCTAGCCGACGCGAAATCGGCGCTATCTCATCGACGCCCAGACGCTAATCGACGCTTGCCGACGCTAAAGACAGAATTGCCAGGGGCACACCAAATTTCGTAACAAAGGGAGGGGGGTCTCATTTCGGGGGGGGGTCTCTTCCAGGCTATCTTGGAGGGCCTGGGGGGTCTGGGGACGATGTTTCGGAGGGTTCTCCCACGGGGGGGGTCTGAACTGGCTTGTATTGGAGGGTCCAGACCCCCTCCCTTTTATTACGAACTCTGGAGTACACAAGGCTCCCACGATTTGCTACCGAACCAACGTGAGCATCCGGAAGCCCGCGCGGCTCTCCGGGCTCGCTGCTGGCGCCCCATTGGGGACGCCTTCGCGCGGGGCGGCCCCCGGGCGCGCGGAGCGCGCCCACGTGAACGCTCGGAGTCCCGCGCGGAATTCCCCTGGCGAAGCCTCCGCCGCGGACCCCGGGCGCGCGACGCGCGCCCGGCGGAAGCGCGCCCGGGGGAGGGGGCTCAGCGCCGTCCCGGGGAATCCAGGCGGCCCTCCTCGAGGCGGCGCGCGCAAGGGGGCCGCGGGGAGGGGGGAAGGACTCTTACAGGGAGGCTGCCTCTTGGAAGGCGCCCGCCTTGCATTGCGGATAAAGCCCAGGCCTTCTAAGAGGCCGGGTGCTTCCAAGGAGCCTTCTCCCCTTCCACTGCCCCACTCTGCGAGCGACCGACCTCCGAAACTTTCTGCTTGTGCGGTTTGGTTGTCCTCTCGAACCTCCGGGTTCTTCACGATGCCCTTCGTCATGGCCTCGGTGAGCGCACTCATCACCGCGACGATGGCAGTGACACGTGGTCGACACCAGCACCGCCACCGACAACATCATCATCATCATCATCATCATCATCATCATCATCATCATCATCATCATCATCATCATCATCATCCTCATCATCCTCATCATCATCATCAGCAGCAGCATCATCATCACCAGCAGCATCATCATCATCACCATCATCATCACCATCATCATCATCATCAAATTGTCATCATCATCATAATCATCCTCATATCCTAATCAGCAACATCATCATCATCCTCATCCTCATCCTCTCCCTTATCATCATCATCACCATCACCATCACCATCATCATCATCATCAGCATCATCATCATCATCATCGTCATCATCATCATCATCATCATCATCATCATCATCATCGTCATCATCATCACCATCATCGCCATCCTTGCCGTCGTGATCTCCGGCATCATCGTCATCATCACCAGCATGAATCCCCACCAGCGTGTGGCATGGTGCTGCTTTCCTGCAGGGTGACACGCTTCTGCCCCACCGCCAATACCACCTGGCAACGGGATCCTTTTTCCGTTGTGGCTGACTCCCGCAACCAAACTTAGGTCGGGCATGTCCTGCTACAGGCGGATTTCGGAAGAAGAAATGCAATGTGTGTTCAAAAGCTCCCCAACATAGTCAAACATAGCAGAAAACATCGTCCCCTGACAACTTTTTGACTATTCTCGAATACTCCTCCTGTAGAGGGACACGCCCGACTCACGACCAAACCCTGGATGCATCCGGGGGGCTTCCACGTCCGCTGGCTTCTGCCAGGACTGCGCCGAATACCGCAGGGCGGAGAGCCACCCCTCGCGTTGTTGCCCCCAGTTCCATCGGCTGCTTCCGCCGAGGACGGGACGTCGGACGTCGGCTCTCTTCGATTCCCCGAAGGCGGAGATCTCTGGGGAGCGCACCCTCGAGATCCAACGAATTGAACAACTCAAGATGGAGATGTTTCACAAATTTCGGCCCCTAGGGGCCCTCGCCAGGCCACGGGACCGTCAAAGAACGACTCAGGATGGAAAAGCGGTCCTGGGGAACGGGTCGAGAATTCCAGGAATCGCGCATTTTGAAAGAATCAAGACGTCGGATCTCTGGCAGCCTGGACGTTGATTTTGTCAACTCCCCAGCACCTCAAGGATCTGACTTGGGCTGTGCGGAACTGGTCCTGGGTGCTGGGCTGCGAGGCCTCCCTTTGCCTGCTTCCGTATATTTACATATATAGGAAGAAGAAGCTTCACCAACATAAACTTTCGACGGTCGGCCCAGAAGTCTTGGATCTGCGCGGAGCTCCAAATTCTGTTTATATAGTTGTTTCGTCTTCGACTGCGGCCTCCTATGGCCTGGGGGCAAGGCCGAGCTTAGGTAGAGCATGTCTTCGTACAAACGGATTCTGGAAACATAAATGGGAAAGTAGTCAAAATTTCGTCAAGACCCCCCCCCAAAGTCTAACAATCGTCCCCATACTATGTTTTATTTGAAGATTCCTCCTGTAGAGGGACATGCCCGACATAAATCGGCGGCGAGCGAGAGGGGCAAGTGAGAAGGAGAAGGCCTTCTCAGAAGGTTCGGAAGTCCCCTGGCCTTCTAAGAAGTTGCTGTAAGCCTTCCCCGAAGACAGAAAAAAACAACTTCGCAGAAGGCGCAAGGGCTTCTGAGAAGTCCCGCCGCCTTCCGAGAAGGCCTTCTTCTCATTTCCCCCCCTCGCTCGCCGCCGATCAATGTTAAGTCGAGCCTGTCTCTCTACAGGGGGAAAACTCCAAAATAGTCAAAAAATGGTCAGGGGACTCTTTTCTGGCTATGCTTGCCATGTTGGGGGTATGCTTTGGGCATGTTTGATGTTTCGCTAAAAAAATCCCCCTGTATGGGGGACAGGCCCGACTTGAGATGAATGCCTGGGCTGTGGGTGCGCGGCCTCGCGTGGTCTTCGGGCGCCCGGGCACCGACGGGGCCAGGCCGCGGATGCGGCGCGCGGCCGCCCGCGCGGCCTCGCCCTGCTGGCGCGGCGCCGGCGGGGGGTCGGGCGGCGGGCACGGGGGTCCACACAAGCACACACACACAACACACACACACACACAAACGCACGCACGCACACGCACACGCACGCGCAAGCGCACACGCACACGCACACACGCACACGCACACACACACACACTCACACACACACACACACACACACACACACACACACACACACACACACACACACACACACACACACACCACACACACACACACACACACGCGCACGCACACGCACCCGCACACACAAGCACACACAAAAAGGTATTTTGGTAGTGAAAACAATTGGTTTTTTAAAATGTTTGGCCTCACGAAGCTCTGCGTGGCGACGCCCCCGTCGCCACGCAGGCCCTCTGCGTGCCTGCGGGGGCGCCGCCACGTTAAGCTCCTGAAGACTACGCATCTGGGGAGGACGTGGGCGGCGGAAGAGAAACGCAGCAAGGCGGAAGGCAACGGCCAGGAGAGGAAGAAAAAGGCGGGGGAAGAGGAGGAAGCGGGGTGGAAGGAGGAGTAGAGGCTGGAGCGGAGAGGCGTGGATGGGGGATGCTAGGGAAGCTCAGCCAGAGCAAGAGCGCGAGAATGTCCTCAGGAAACGAGCCTCGCGGGTAGGATGGGGCGGAGGGAGGCGAGAGCTTCTTCTCTCGTTGAACTCTGCGACGAGGCAGGCGCTCTCCGACACTCTGCGCGCGCGCCGCTAAAGCGCGAAGGCCCGCCGCCCGCTAGCGCGGACGGCCTCGCGGAGCAAGTCCTCAGCCAAGCTCGCGCCAGGGATTACTCGCGGCGCTCGTGCTGTCGCCCTGCGGCCAGGGCGGCGCGGGGGCGGGCCCGGAGCTGCTCGCGCTGCCGCTGCCACCTGGCCTCGACCAGTCGTGGCTGCCCCACCAGCTGCCGTCCCACCAGGTGCGCTTCTTCCACCAGCCGTGGTCGCCCGCCCAGGCGTTGTCGGCGCCACCAGAGCCCCCGGCCTGGGAGTCCGCTAGCGCGGGCCCCGCGGTGGCCGCTGCCCCTGTGGCCACTACCACCGCCCATGTCTCCCAGCGCCCCTCTGGCGCCTGCAGCTCTGGGCTCGCTGGCGGCTGCTGTGGGGGCGCCTGCGGTGGTGGGCCCTGCCCCTTTCCCTGGGGCTGTCCGTCGCCGCGAAGCCCGAGGCCTCGCCCCGTCGCAGTCGACCTGTGGCCCGACCACCCCTTCGTGCCGTACAACGACTTCTCGGCGTTCGAGATGCCTTGGGCGAGTGGGTCTGCGGAGGGGCCGCGCGTGTCCACGCGAACTGCTTTGCCCGCCTTTCCGCTGGCGTCGGGCTTCCACGCCGCCGCGACCGCGCCCAGCCCGCTAGCGCGGGCCGGATTCACACGCACGGAGGCCCTCCACTCGAAAGCCGCCGTTTTGGAAAGCCACGGGACGAAGGCCATCCCCGCGGCGGCGATCTGGTAGTCGAAGAGATCCCCGTGGGGCTCGAGAGCTCGAACCGCGTCGTCCAGAGAGTCCATCATGTGACGACCGATCTCGGCTGCGCTGACGCGCACGAGGCGATGGTCGTCGGAGAAGTCCCCAGAGGTAGAGTCGCCTGCGAGATGATGCCACTGCTTGATGGTTGTTTCCTCGCCGACACTGAACACGACGCCCTCCCCCGTGCCGTTGCCGACGCCTGCGTCCACTAGCGTGGGCGCTCCCTCAGTGCAAGCCGTGCCCTTCCCCGTGGCGACGCGGCGGCAGTCCTTGATCATCCAGTTGGCCACCGAAAGAGTGTCGCCTTTAGATGTGGGGCGCCAAGGGTCCGCTAGCGCGGACACTGGCACTTCGACCCACCTCTTGCCTCCCGCGTCGTTCAAGTCGGGCGCCCGCACCATAGCGCGCGGGCGCGCTGCTGCGACAGGGCGCGGGGGTCGTGGAGAGGGTAGCGCGGCCCGCGCTTGAACCTGAAAAGACTGCGTATGCGCACTCGCTCCTGCGCCCTCGTCGTCGTCGTCGTCGTCGTCGTCGTCGTCGTCCTACTCCTCCTCCTCCTCCTCCTCCTCCTCCGCCTCCTCCTCGTGTCCTCCTCTTCCTCCTCGCGTCCTCCTCCTCGCGTCCTCCTCCTCCTCCTCCTCCTCCTCCTCGTGTCCTCCTCCTCCTCCTTGTCGTGTCCTCCTCCTCCTCCTCCTCCCACTCCTCCTCCTCGTGTCCTCCTCCTCCTCGTGTCCTCCTCCTCCTCCTCCTCCTCCTCCTCCTCCTCCTCCTCCCCCTCCTCCCCCCCCTCGCCCTCCCCCCATCTCCCCCCCCCCCCGCGGGGTGCCCGGGGTGGGGCAGGGGCAGGTCGAGGTAGGAGGAAGGAAGGAGGTGGAAGGAGGAAGTAGGAGGAAGTAGGACGTAGGAAGAAGGAGGACGCGGGAGGAGGGAGGAGGAGGCAGAGATGGCAAGTAGCGCGAGTTGAGAGGAAGTCGGGGCTGGCAGGGGCAGGGGCAGCGGCGGAGGTGGGCGGCGGTAAGGTTTCAATCCGCGACGCGCGGAACCACTGGAGCGCGCTGCTGAGGCGCGAAGGTCGCCGCCGGAGCTGGGGGCGAGCGCCGACGCGGCGCGACGGCCTCAAGAAAAAAGGCGGTGCTCGGCGCGTGCCGCGCGCGGTCGCGCGGCACCCGCTAGCGCGGATGCTGACTGCGCAGAAGGAGCACTGCAGGCCCTGGCGCGCGGCACCCGCTGGCGCGGATACTGTGGACGCCCCGAGAGGTACCTGATCAGGCCGTGGCCCCTGCGGAGCTGGGCGCGCCTCCCGCGCGCGTCGGAGCCGCGGCGGCACGCTTGGCGGCGCGCTGCAGCTCCTCCCGCCACCACTTGTCCCCGGCCTCCAACAGCGGGAGCCTGTTGCTGTCCGGGAACTGCACCGTCGCGCAGTCCATCTCGATGCCGACGAGCGTTCCCGGGACATAAAACAACCAGTGGTCGATCAAGTCCTTCACGGAGCGCGCGTCGTC